GAAAGCAGTTTGTAGAGAATTATATCAAAATCCATTGCGTGGTTTAGAAGAAGTAAGCAAAGAAACTGACAGACGAAAACCGTGACTGCTTTATACTATTTAAAGATAAACAAATCTTTCATTATAATAGTAGTTTAGATAAGCAATTACATTTAATTGTATTTAAAATATATGTAAATATTATAACTACACTTGAAATTGAAACTTGAAAGGAACGTAAATATGTCTTAACTGAGGCTTACATTAATTATATGGGTATAAACTTGAGCAATTTAGTATTTCAGTAGTAGGTACTATCAAATTAATGTAAATTATATTTAGGTACGAAGTACTATTGTAATTATATTCTGTGATTTAGGATTATAACTGGGGGTCTCGAGAAGTCGTAGCAACATTACCATTGGACAGAATTATTAGCATATTTAAATTGACTTCAAAAAGGCGAAGGCGTTTTCTGTTATTTCAATTTTAATACACTGCTATATGTTATGATAATATTATATGAATTATTGTTTTATTTATTATAATTATTACGCATAAACTTACATGAATCCTGTAACGCACTCCAGGTAAATTTAAGTAATGAGTATCTAAACACGAATTTCTTTATCATACATAATTCTATTAGAATTTTTCTAGTAGTTATTGCATGAAAAGCTAGCAAACATCCAAACTTCCATCCATTCTCGTCAGCTTTATCGTTAGTTATATCTATAAATATACCCCAGCAAGTGTGTACGTTACATTCTACCTGACTTTGTTATATCCGGTGAAATGCTCCATTCAACGGGTTTATCTAAATTGTCTTCCATACAACTTTTTCCATGCACATTCATGTATATTGTAGCTTTCTATTAATGATGCCAATTGGCATTTGGCACCCGCCCAGAGCTAAACTCGATACCGAGCATTGACAGCATCGACACACGTATTCGATTAATTATAATGCCTCGCATTGTTCGTGTGCCGTTTTCTGATTTTCTATCTTTCAATTCTTTTTCAATAATATTATGTTAATATAATAATAAATTTTCTAATTTTTTTTACAAAATTTTTGACTATTTTACTTCCACTTTTTAATTATTGTTTGACCTCTACCAGCGGCAATACCAACCACTCTTCTCCATCCTAAAATTATCTGAAATATATTGTTCTATTCTATTCTATTCTATTCTATATACAAGAGTTTATGTAACCAAATGTAGTGTGCGAGAAATAATTAAGATTTAATTTATGGGATAATTCAGGATAATTCACATAAAACCACCACATTTGTATAAAGCCATGAGTCAGGATCAACAGCTCCATAATAACAATGAACAACGACCATTAAAGCCTTTTATTGTCGCCGGGACAGTCTACTACTGTCTCGAAGAGGCCAATGAATTTAATTAGAAAGAACTACGGAGTAGTGATTAAAGTTCCGAACTCTAGCTACAGTCCTAGCCTTTTGTAAAGATTCTCAGTAGGTCAGACAATCGGCTAATCAATACTCTATCGGCAGTATATATCCGCCATTACGACTCGATTCACCTTCGGTGCTTCTGATGCTGTTTTGTGCGAGCATGGGATATTTTCATATAGATTCACTTGTAATTCAATTCACGATACGTGTAAATACTATAGCATCATATCTATTATAGCATATAGTCCTCTGGAATGGATACGCATAAGAGTTTATGGAACAAATATTACAGTTAAAAGAAGGAACTAACGCCATTATAAAGAACACTTTAGGTGATGATTTAGGTGAAAAAAAAATGTCAGAAGTACAAACATTGTGCATTGCTAGAAAATGATTTTATTAAATAGTTTTACTATCACTTACAAAATTGGAGAAATGTCAATCACTATAGCTATTGTACCTCTCCAAGTTATTGTACCTAAAAATGTCACACGGTAATACAGAACTTAACGAATGCCAGAAAGAGACAGATAAATAATCAAACAGCAAAGATTAGCATCATTGAACAACCAGACACCGACGATATTAAATTGTATCATATTGCGCAAATTCCGCTAAAATTGAATTCCGATTTACCTGAGGTAATCTTATTTAATTAGAATCTTATTACGATGTGCAAAAGTAGAGAATCGATTGATAGGACAGATATCTTCTTGGTATGATGGTTGAAGCGTTTGACGTTATTCTACATGGCGCACCTATTGTGTCTTGATTCTCATGCGCGAACCATCCACCCGATTCTTAAAACTTATTCTTTTGTGTGAATGTAGAAAGAATTTTAATGCTTCCGTTTGAACTTGGTGTAAAATCGCACAATAGAAATGCCTTTATTACATAATACGGACTTACTTGATAGTCCGCAATCATTCTGCTACATTTACGATTCTGTACATGTCACAGAGCACATTTATTATAGTCATTGTCTATGTTTAACGTTGAACATTCTTGTTCTTAGGAATATTCCATATGCAAGTCAAGAGCACCTGATTTAGTCTCTGGGAACGTAACAAATCAGTTCGATCTTGAACTTATTCTAGATTCCTATGTGGTATATTTATTGGTTTTATAATTATGTGTATATAGAATGATATACTGTAGTATGGGGAGAGAGAACCTTTTTTTTTAATCTGCATAACTCCTCGCAAAGTCACCCCGCTGCAGAGATGGTGAGGGGGGAGTGTGATATTCTTACCCACTAAAAAACCATGTGGTGTACCTACGAGTCGCCAGTGCCGAAGCCTAGTGGCTATATAGTATTCGCTACTCCAGCGACGGAGATCGAACCTGCGCCCGTTCGAATGGTGAGGGTGTGTGTTAACATATTATGTGTACACATTACCAATAATTACATAATAAAGATTAATAGTTATCGAGTATATAAAATAACGTCGTAATTTGTTAATAACAGGGAAGTACGGCTGTCAATGTATATCTAGTAGGATCAAGTAAATCTAGCAAAATTAACTCAGGATGTAATTATGAGTAGGTGAGTACATGTTTTTTGTACCGTGGGAACGTAGTGCCAACGCGAAATCCAGTTTCTGAGCAGTTTTTATGGATAATACCTACGTACGCTGGCTGTTAGATGTTGGTGCTTTTGCTCACGTTATTGTTTGATTATAATCTCAATCTATATAAAAAACACCTTATAAAACGTCTAGTAAACTTTTTTTATACTACAATCCTTCATTATAGATATTTAACATATTTTCCATCTTTTTCTTTCAATATTCTAATTTGATAGGAAATGATAATATATATTATATAATATAATGTAATTCTAATTGTAAGACTGAATTGTAAACCATGTGAATTTTTATGAATTAGAGGGGTAATTACATGTATATAAGTATAATCCAAAGTAAAATAATCCCAGAAAATTAACAAGTATATAGAGTTAATTTTGTAGGCAATATATTAAAGAAAATGTTGTCGTTGTTTTATTTCTACTTAAATGAAATTACTTTAATAACACGAAATCTCGTCCCTTAATTATTTATTATATTGACTAATAGGTAAGCCAAAAATTTCTCTTAAATTGATTAAGCGAAATTTTCGTCTTCGTAAAATAACTTGTAAGTGTTGTCTGTAACAATTATTTATTATATTATTATTAGTATTCTATTATTATCTTAATGTTTTTGTTCTTAGTTTTCACAAAACTTAATAACTTACCTTCGTAATATACACTAGGCAAATATTACGTGATACAGTTAAGCATCAGCTGTTCTCAATTCTAAAGATAGGATATCATCCTTAGCATGGCATTTATAGAATAACCCCCTATCATTAAGCCAGGTGTACAAGGCACGTGCTGCGACATCTGCTGGCGAAAAAAACAACAAAAAAAAGCATTTTATTATTTGTAGCTTATTGCACTCTTCCGAGGCATCTGCTTCTATTTTAATATCCCGTCATCTGTCCTCTTGTATTCGACCCTTATTAAAAAATGGCATTTTACCTTATCTTCAAAGATTTAAGGATTATATTTGAATGATTATGATTTTGTTAATAGAACAAAGTTTATTGCTAGAATGATCTTCAGATATAAAAGGTTAGATCGAAAGGTCGATCGTTCACTTTCAAATTTTAGCTTCTGTTATTTCTAATATATTCATTCCCTTCGTAGCTGTCGATATTTTTTTAGTTTGTTTTCATATCTATTTATTATAATGTATATTCATACGATAGTATTAGCAATATTAAATGAAAACATAAGTTGTCTTTATGATTATTGTTAGTTTTTATACCTAGGCATTTTTCTAATACTTTTTATATCGATATTTAATTAAATGTTATTCGTAATTAACCTAGGTTTAGTATGTTTGTATCCAAGCCTATTTTTCGATTATTACATTTAAAGCAGTATCATTAAAATTTTGTAACGCCTCCAAAGACTGGTATCCGCTCGTATATGTAATTATTTAATGTATAACATTTTTTTTTAATTTGATATTGCATCTGCTATATACCCAGTTGTAGAGCACGCAGTTGTATAGGATAGTCCTATGTTATTACTAGCCTTAGAAATGTTGTGATGTTAGTCAGAATCAGAAATTTCTTTCTGATTTTGACTAATATCATGCCCTATAAAGCCGTGGACTGTAATATATTTAAAAATAATCATTAGTCCATATGTCGCTAACTTTAATATATCTTCTTACTGATGTGGACGGATTTTTTGTAAATGTAGTAGAACTAAACGTTATACCATTACTACACTAGCCAGGCGGGTTGTTATAAGATTTTAGCCTGAGTTTTCCTTTACTTCAATGTCTTTGTACTTTGCTCGACTCCACAAGGGATATTTATTACAATACTAGCGACCCATCGCGGCCTCGCACGTATTTAAGTGCGTGACGATGGTCGTATAGCCAGTTGTCCCAGGCGATATCATAAATCACCGATATATAGTACACATAGTACACATACCTTCTGGAAGAAATTACATAAAATGCTAGTGAAAATCTTATCAAAATTCGTTGTGTTTATTTTGTAATTAGATTAATTAAATTGAAGCATTCCTTTCTTTTAGGACTGCCACGGACTTGATGTGGAAGGGAAACCAGTTGCCGATGAAGTGCAGAATTACGAATTGATATCGGGTCACCAGAATCATACGCATACTACAATTGAGTTTAGAAGATTACTAAACACAAAAGATAACCAGGACTTCCTCATAAGTGTAAGTACTCGTATCTATTGCTACTAGTGTGTAATGTAATGGACTACCTAAACATTAGACATTTTAGGTATACAGACATATTTAATTGCTTAAAACAGCAACAAGTAGGATCGTTTTTCGTGTGAAGAGATAGCTCTTCGTAGGAGTGGTACATTAAAAAAATAAGTAATTTCTTTTCTAGAGAGTATAAATCAACTTATGGTTTAAAATATAGTTTACAATCAAACTACTATGTCTAATAATGTAAATGCTACCCCTCAGTTACGCACTGTATTATAAGTAATATATCATAACATAAGATTAATAATTATTAATATTAATACTGTGTAATAATGAAAATGTTCTTTCAACAAATGTGAATTATTCATATATCAATTGCAGGATGAAACTATTCAAGTTCTCTACGCTCTCGGACCCCCAGGATCTGATGGACAGCTACCGAAACACGTGAAAAGTGGCTCCAAACCTTTGAGATTACTACAAACATTGTCAAACCCTAGTTCTGTACCGCTATTACATTGGGATGTTACGATTGGTAACGTAAGTTACACATACAATTTTTTTATACTCATATAGTTCACTAAGATTATAGGCAGTGACATCACGACATAATACTCGGAAATGCCAACGCATGAGTGGTATCACATGATAACATGATGTCCGAGGTCCTCTTTTATGTATATAAGCAACGATTATTATCAATTACCATCAAGTCAGCTTCTTTCGCTATTACTTTACATAAAAAATTGACTAATGAAACAACACAACACATATATCTGTCAGAATGAGGCCAATACGCTAAAAAAACGCCATAACAATGAGGGATATATTAATTAACAATGAGGAATAACATTAACAAACGCGACACACTATTTTACGATGGTAGTATGTAAGTTGACCTTTTAGCAATATTTAAATAAATCAGATGCTCGCCCACAGTTTTGTGTTAGGGGTTAATAATCATTTATAAAACCATATATTTCGATAAGGCGCATAAAACACAAATCTACAACATAGATCTTATGCACGAGAAAATAATTCTAATGCATTTAAGCGTGACTTTAAGCAACTAAAATATGAACATTCAAACAACTGTAGAAACATTTATATAATTAAACATTTCATAGAAATTTCATATTATTATTTCACTTTGCAGCTTTCATAGTAATATTTGTGTACAAAGGACAACGAGATAGTAATTATTTATGCTGGGGTCAACATTACTTATATCTCATAATAATTTTACGTATATACTGTTGCAGTGAGAAATGGCGAGCACTACTATTATTTGATGTACTTTAAAAGGAATACTCATTTGTGAATTCTAAAACCAGCTGTTTGCTTTTAGTTTTGCTTTGAAATTTTAATTAGTATTTTTAATATTGCAGCGTAAACGTTATTAATTTTATATTTATTACCACTATCTCACACAATTATTATAACATCTCAGCTCAGTCGATATTCCATGGATAAATTAAATAAACAGAATTATTTTTCTTTCATTTTGTCTTTGTTAATGGCTATTTGTATAGGGCTTATTCTTATCGTTTACTTTCGAAATTTGACAGGTTCATAATGCCGATTTCAATTTATAGCGTCATATTCTAAACATATGGAAAAGTTCTTAATATTGTTTTCTGTTCATTGGATTGTTTTTGATTATCGAGTTTTCATCAAGCAAATAATTTTATTACATTATGCTCTAGTTGAAGAAGTTTCAATTATTTATAAGAACTGTCTACAAATATAGAGGACAAATTACACCCGGTACATCAAAACTTCAGTCACAAAACCTTTTTGAAAAGCTTTAGATTATTAGAAACATTATAATTAGCTGTGTTCCGAGTCGGTTTTGACCTATCTTCCTGGGCAACTGGATAAATTATATTAGTCGTATGTATGGGTCGTCAGTTCCTCCAAAAAAAAACAACTTAAACAAAACATTTTAAAAACATTCTCTGCACCTTTATTTTATTATTATCGTACAAAATAATAACGTTCACTACCTACAAGTAAACAAGTTTACAAAATGAGTTTAATATATAATATAACAATGTATTGTTGTAGGTATTTTATATAGATAGAAAATAAGTATTCGTAAACAATTATATACATAATAAATTATTAAACCTATATAACAACAATGAACATTATGTATAGTAAAGTTCAAAATCCCTGGATACCCCGGACGTCGTCACTATTGTTTGATGTGTGTGTGTGATTGAGTAGTATCCACTATCAGCACAGGTAATACCCGCTAGTTTTACCAGACGTCTATTTTCAAGTTAACAAGTGCTGTCGGTGCAAAAAAAAAACAGTGGTAAATTCACTACATAATACCACTACCTTAACATTTAATATTTTCTTTACAGCTATCCATACCACATGATATGGCAACGTTGTTCTGGTGTAAAATCTTCAAAGTTCCCGATTTACCAAAGAAACATCATATCGTAGGATATTTGCCATTAATAGACAGTAGACCGATCAGGAATGCTATACCAGTTGTAGAGAAGAACAGTTTGTCTCCAGTACACCATATGGTGTTGTACGAATGCGCTGTAGACCCTGATGTATATTCATGGAACGAGTGGGCAGAAGGCAGTGGATTTTTTGGGCCGAATCGTCCTAGTGAATGGGCGATATGCGCAACGCCGGTGGCTGCTTGGGCTATGGGATCGAAAGGTATATTACATCTACAATTCTGATAATGTTGAATAATGAAAAGACAAGACGTATTCAAATCACTCAGTTCAATGATTAATTCATCATAAATTATGGAGGGAAATGTCGTATAAATTCGTCTGCGTGGATACCTCTGTGTCAATTATTTTAGCCAAGTATCGTGCTTTGTAAACTGTGTCACATTTTGAAGGCTGACAGTATGACAGACAGACAGACAAAGTACAGGGATGGATAGCATCTTAGTCAGGAATAGTTACGCAACGGCGTAACATGTTGTAATGTCCATGGTAGGACCATGTTTCATTATATAGGCGACAGTTGTCATTTAGCTAACCCGTAAGTGCCACAATTGGTTCCAGGAGGATACATCCTACCAACAATTCCCCACCTCTCTAAAATAATAAAAACAGTGAATCGATATGCAAGCCGTTTATTCAAAGTTCCTCTTTGTTCTAACTCCAGCGCGTAACTAACTAACTTTCTGAACCGATTACCCCTTTTTAAGAAAAAGGGTAGTCGTTTCATTCCTTTCCCTATCTATCATTACACTACAATTATACAAAAACTATTCTAAAGATTTATATCTATAGAAAAATTATACAAAAAAATAAATAATTTTAAGTATTATATGTTCCACTAACATATAATACTTAAAATGGTTTTAGAAAATACCATATTTAATTAGCATTTCCTTGTAGATAGTGTATCATTATTACATTTTTATAATATAAATAAGTTATGAAATAAACACGAATGTCTCTAATCTAACTAATTGTAAGATGGCGCTGTATAGTCAGTACAATACTTGATAGTTTCCTATTTAATCATTTCATAAAGATAATATATGGACATATAAATTATTTCTTACATAATGTATGTTTTCGTTTTCACCAGGAAATCTACTGGATATTACTTGATGAAAACTGTTTCATGAGTATTCTACCTAACTCTTGACTTGGATAGTCTTTACGAGTCACCCTTATTATTATTTTATTCAATAAAGTTACGTTACATATATGTTTTACATCTGTGTGTCCTGTTATAGGGTAATGTTTCTTATACGTTTAATATACATGTATTAAAGATAATTAACACGATAATTCCAGGTGAATTCCTGCCTACGAACGTCGGCATCCCTCTAGGCGAGAAAGGGGGCGTATCGTTCTACATGCTTGAGATTCATTACGACAACCAGGCCCTGCATGAGGGTAAGTTCATTATGCCTTAAACTTTCTTCGTGGCATGTGTTGGCACAGCCTCGTTGGTCTAGCGGTTTTACACCCTTTCCACATCTTATGATCGCGGGTTCTATTCTCCGTACGGTACAAATATTTGTATTTATGAGTATGATTGTTTCTATTGGTCTGTGTATTTTCTATGTATATTATGTATGTATTTTCTATGTATTTAAGTACTTCTATCAGTTGACTAGTAACTGTAACAGAAGCTCTGTCTAGCATGGCAGTAGATGGCAATAAATGGCGCTGTGTGAATGTCCTGACTTATTATTACTATTCTTAGATCGTTGTATAATTTTTTTATTGATGATAATGTAATGGTACATCCCTAGTAACAAACCTAGTCTAAAGTAGATATTTATTTAAATGATTGTGAATAGTAATGGTTATTATGACAGCGTTATTGATGATTGTTATCATTCTATTTCAGTGCTAGATAATTCAGGTATCCGTGTACTGCATACACCTACACTGAGACAGCATGATGCGGCGTTGCTTGGCGCCGGTGTGGGGGTGTCAGCATTACACCTTATACCACCAAAACAACGGCAGTACAGGACCGTGGGCATCTGCGGTTCTGAATGCACTAATAGCGTGAGTATTTTGTCTGTTTATAGCCACTGATATAACACATATATTAGAATATTTCAAGTATATTTATTATATCTTTTTATTAGTTACCTATATTACGTTATAACCTTGAATTTTATTCTAAGACTATTGAAGAAATGAAGAAATTTCATTTTATTATAATTAAATTTCATTCAAATTAATCTGACAAAATAAAATTAATAAGTAGATATTTTGAATAATTTCAAATAAACAAAAATTGTATTTGTTGTATTAGTACAGTTTACACCTTTGTTGGAATTGAATAGGTGTACAAAAATGGAATTACTTGTTTTGCACGATGTGCTGTTATAAGTTGATTGGATTTAAAGCAAAATTTTATTTTATATTAATATATATATGTTTTTCTTTTCAGCTGTTTCCAGATACCGGTATAAATATCGTGTCTGTACTATTACACGTGCATGGAACCGCTCGCAAAATATCCCTCAAACATGTGAGAGGACAACAGGAGCAGGAGGTGATATCTGAGGTAAATTTAGGTCATATTTTTGACATTAAATTTAAAGTAAAGGATTTTTTTATCATTAATTATTATGAGATGTTTTACGCTGGTGATGTACCAATGATAGATTGAGTATAAAGACAGGTCAATGGACCTGTCTTGGCAAAACCATCAGCATTTAACCACGATGATTTTCAAGGCGGATCACGTAAAGGTCGACTTTACTAACAATTCTCTCCTCTAAGTAAAGGTATTAGAGTATGGTTCTATATTGTTACCTGTACATTTAGACTTATATTTGGTTTTATTTTAAACTAACAATGACATCTATATAGTGGATTAAAATTAAAAACATTTAAATATAGCCAGTCTGAAATAACAATTTATTCAACTTTTTCTTTCATATATCTGTCGCTAGATGGCAGACAAATAGGCTGTGTGCTTTATTTTCTATTAGTTTATTGATTCTTTACTAGATGGCGCTAACATTATTTTTTAATTTTGATTTGGCCCCAGGAAAACTCTTACGATGCTCGATATCAACAATCTCGAGTTGTTCCTGGAGGAAGAAAGTTTTTGAAAGGAGACATTTTGATCACGGAATGTACTTACGATACGACAACACGCGATAAACCGATTTTAGGGGGATATTCCACCTCACAGGTTAGTAATGAAAAATTATACCATTTAATTAAAAAATATTATTTTAATCTAAATATATAAAATTCTCGTGTCGCAGTGTTTGTTACCAAACTACTCAGAAACGGTTTTATCGAATTTTATAAAATATGTCGCCATCGTCCATCTCATATGGTATTATTTTACTGATAAAGGCTATAACAGAATAGCAGAGAGGGTGGACTCACTGCCCTCACTAAAAAGGGTGACTGATTATTGGTAATGAAAATAACAACTATTATTGTATCGTTTAATAAATATTTACAGGAGATGTGTCTGTCCTTTGTTCTGTATTACCCACGGACAGAACTGGCTGGATGCTACTCGATGACTCCAGTCGACGAATTCTTCGAAACATTCGGCGTAAAGGAGTTCTATTTTATGAGCATGACTAAAATACAGAATTTGTTTCTGTCGTCTGGGTGAGTATTTTTCACTCACTTTACGTTTCACCATAGTCTGGTTAATTTTCATATTTTTTATGTAATTGGAATGCCATATGGCAGAGGACCACCTGATGGTAAGTGATAATTGATGTCTACGTACATGAACATCAGTAAGGTCAGTAGTATAATGTGACGACATGATATGCCTGCGATAATTTTTCTACGTTGTCATTACGAAGGACTAAGTTGTTATAACTCTTGTCATGTACTTTCACTGACTAGTCTCATCGTTCAACCGATACACGAAACAAGCTACTTGGCGACTGAAATAAGTGACACTGAGGTATCTACGCAGAAGACTTTACGAAGTCTACCAATGTAAAAACAATTCTTGCATTCAAATTTGTCATAACGTAATAACGTCAGTGTTACGCTTACTTACAGAAGTAAACCTTATACGTAAATGCGGCCCAAAATTAATTATAGGTCCTTCATTTTATATTATATAGACTTAATTATTATTAAATTGTTCATTATTAAGGAAAGGAACATGAAATATGTACTGTTTTAATAGAGGAGTCTTATTTATATAATTACCTATAAATTTTTCGGACATACCATCGTTGCTTGTAATATTTATAATTTATAAATATTTTCTCTTCACAGAAACCTAGATAATATTACATCACCGTGGGAGTTTGATATGAAGAGTAGAAACTATGTGGAAGAGACTGGTTTACAAGGGGATGATCAGGGCGTGAGATTGTTGGGTTAGTAAAGTTATATAAATCAATTCTACGACAAGTCGCATCAAGCAAATCAACATGAAAACTTTTTATCACTCTCTTTCCAATTAAGAATTTGCTATGTTGGCAAGGAGATTTTATATCTCTTATATATCTAAAATAGTTTTATTATTACTATATATTTAATACTTTTAAATCAAAGTCGTTGGTTAGTTCGTCTTACATCGGTACATATACATATGTACATATTATTTTATTTATACGACGTCCATCATATATACTATATAGCTTTTCATAGTATCCTATCTCTACAATATTACTTCTATTACAGAATCTCTAGTTATAAAGAACCCTGCCGAATTCCGTAACAAGTCTTTCATGGCGCACTTGAACGAAATGCAATGGTCCGAGCCTCTACTCACCGAGCCTATAGAACGTCGGCTATACCGAGGTCTTCATATGATGTTCTGCAAAAAGCAAGACGATACTTGGGGAACTGTGAGTTGATTATGTTTCTAGTTTTTCTATATTATCTTCTATGTATACCAGTGAAATCTATCTTTATCCTATTTAAATAAAACAAAGTTTTATTACTTACAGTATTTATAATTCGAAAATGTCGAATCTATTTTATATGATGTTTGATTTGTCTTATTTGTGTTCAGAATAAATAAGTAGAAAAAAATAAGTAACTTAACCTATTGAAAAAAAATCTTATAGTCGTATTTTAAATTAGACGAAATCATCTGACGTTTACTGTGTTGTCAGTATTTGATGAAATAAAAATAGTGTTGTGACAAAGTGAAGAATTGAAAAAACTCCTGAATTAATGGAATTGCCTTGATTGTCTAGTCTAGTGAATAGTTAGTGTGCCGAACTGCCGATATCGGGTACGGGGTTCGAATTTTAGCCGTGCTTTATACATACCAACAAGTTTTCAATGACTATGTTCCTATAGTATCTACCTATACTGAATACCGAGTATTTTAAACATAAAGAAAAAAATTGCGAAGAAACTTTTAAGACCGTGTTTGTAGATATTTTGTCTCATAAATTTTTCGGTAACGCTTAATCCGTAGTCTCTTCTTTCTTGGAGACAATCTTTGGCTTGTCGTGCTTGGTTGAGGATCCAGAAAATATACAATATACCCAACAATTACCACAAACACAACATAAGGAAAAACTTAACAAATACAATAACAAAACTGCGTGAGCGCAAAAAAAAACATTCGTGCTCTCAGACCAGAGGTTAGAAGCCGAATTACGAACAAAATGGCGACCGACGCTCGCGACGTTTGTCGGTGTTGGTAGCCGCGCGCTTCGTAATAAGCCGTCAAAAAACTGATTGTAGTTACATACCACTAGTAATTTATATTAGAGCACTTTTATACAATTTTATTGTAAAATATAAATAATATTCTTTTGTAGTTTGAAATTATTAACTATTCACACTCATTGTTCATTAATCTGACCGAGAACTGAACGCATCACTATTACTTTAAATATGGCAACATTATTTTACAAAGTGACATTAGCTACTGTCTGCTAGCTTCGTCTAATTAAAAATATGACTGTATGTAGATTGATTTTGAGGCAACACTGAGTTGCCGGGTCAGCGACTTAAATGTGTAGACAGTGTCATACATCACTGACATGAACTCAGGGTCAGAAATAACATATATCCTTTCTTACATGAAATGACCATTCATAATCGTCGTAAATCAGAGAAATTACAAGGTACTGGCAGGCATGACACTTTAGTCCTCCAAAATGGCAACGCATTAGAGGTACCACGGTCTTGACATCATAACGTGATAAGGTTCTATCCATGCATCTAGACGACGATTACAGCTTGTCAGGTCGGCCGTCTGCCTGTTTGTCATTCCAAATATTTACATTAAAAAACAGTTCAATCATTAGTTTCAATATGATGTTTATTTAATTATAATAATAGTCATTGAAAAAAATTATTATTATTTCAGCCAATCGAAATCCAGGCCTATCCTATCTACCACGCACTGCCAAGCAACGACATATCAGAAAAACATTACAAACGAGTCAAGCTGCCATCAGTGACATCGGCAGCACGGTCGACTAGACGCCAGTTTTGGTCGGCCATCTTGGCCGTATGTCTCACTATTATTGCCATACGGTAATAAGAAAAAACTCTTAAAATAGTACATACAACCAATGATGTTATGTTGTTTTTATTTTTCGTTTGAATTTTTATTTAAAAAAAAACTTCTGTTATAAATCGAATACAACGGATACTCGTTTTTCAATATCTTAGTATTATTTTGCCAAATTATATTGTATGATAAACTATGTTATATTTATCTGTTCACAGTGATTATGGCAAGAGGTGAGATGTATTGTGTAATTGATGTAATTGTGAACCTAACCATAGGTTTTAAGGGTTCTTTGTCGTATTTTTTTAATAAATTGTACGAACGTGAGTGAATATATTTTGTGATCATTGTACTTATGAGCTTTTGCTCATGACGCGACTTTGTAATTTACCAATTTTATGGTATTGAATATTATTGTTTTCTAATGATTCTTATTTGCTCTACCTTAAACCACTTATGGTTTATGGCCTTTTTTATCTTTTGATTTTATAAATGTTCTTCATCAGAAAATAATTTCTTTAAATGTGAATAAGTAGATCCTATGTTTTCATTAAGAGTTGTTTTGAGATCAATTTCGTTTCTCCCCATTTTTCTCGTGAATTCTCTGTTTAAATAAGTACATTCAAATGATTTATTTTGTATTTCAATTTCTATTCCATTGCTGTTTAGAGTAATACTATTTATTCTATTTATAATATCATCAATATTTATGAAAATATTTTAGTACAATAGGCTCAATATATGAATAAGATAAAATGCCTTATCGACTGTACAATATTCCAATGCAATAAAATTAAATATTAAGTGGTTGCACTAAAATATGTATAGGTTATTTCTTAATTTATTTATTGCCTCTCTGTATAAACATTAGTTTTTACGTCTTTTCTTAAATTCTGTTAATATATACTGATAAGTCATTAGAGACTATCAAGTATGCAGACACTGCAAAACTGAGACTGTACATTGCTTAGTGTTATTATTAAGGTTATTATTAATATCATAATCGCAGGTACAATAATAAATTGCATTGACTAAAATTTTTTTTGTACATTCGCGAACATAAAAATATGCGGAAGAAAGTATGGGTTGGGGACAAAAATTCTGTGCATTTAATGCAAGATCTTTAATATAGTTTTATTTTAATTAATGCGGTTTATTGTTAAATATGCGTATGTCTCATATCTATTTTTATTATTCGTGTAAAAAAAGTCCAATTGCATGATTCTAACAATAATAATTAATGATGTTAATCTGAACAAAAAGATATTATGTTTTGATGTGAGTTAATTGTATGAATTTTTTTAAAGAAAATTGACACTGCTGTAATTGATTCCTATTTTTATATATTTTTTACGAATACTAAGAATTCCGTTATTTTGTTACATTCTTGCATATGCTGTGCTTGGTTTGTTTGATGTATTTGTACCAAATTATTATTTTAATGTCCTTTCAGGAAACGTATAAAGGAAATTACATAAAAACAAGAAATTTGTACGCGCAAATCCAATGGCTCAGAAAGACACATTCAAATCAAATAGATTTATTACAGATGTAAAGTTTAAAAGTGCTTGTTATATTTTTTCCTATTCTGGAAATAAGAAAAAATACAAGCAATGCCCGTAATTATCTATTTTGCTTCAATTATTTCATGTACATTAAAATAATTTCTTGTAAGGGAAATGTTTTTTCTTGAGTAAATTAATGCAACTCTAGACTTGTCGTAAATCTAAGAATATTAATCGTATAATATTTCACGGCTGTGTTTTATTGGATCTACGGTTATATTGTTTCTAGAATTAACATATTCAAATAAAGTTATAATAAATAAAACCGTTGAGATAAGTAGTTGGTAAAGTTATTTCGTCAATCAGAAAATAAATTCATATATCTGAACTGATCTTCACAAATTATAAATGAAGACTATCTCAAACACGTCAACGCCTTTCGAACAAAAAGGAACATCATAACCTGTGATGCCTCAAACGGACAAAATATCAGTGTCACAAAAATTGTTGTCTTTATAATTACCAAATTAAAAATTAACATCAATGTTTGCTTTTTTTACATAAAAATGTATAACTTTTAAATACACTGTGGCAGATATGTTTATTTTGAACTATGTATTTATAATTGTTGTATTGTAGAAACATTGTAACAGTAGATATCAATTCCGTAACGAACTTTATTTTTCGAGTCATAATGTTAGTAACTGCATTTCGATTATTACTTTATAGGTGTTGTCCTAAGGTTTAGTTAATAAGAATACGCTTAGTAATTAATTTTTTTTATTTATTTAAAAAGTCAATATAATGTGTTTTATTACTTTATATGTGTGTTTTATTCTTACTACTATAAATAATTTATACTAACAAACAAAAGGAACCGTCATGAATGATTTGTAGTCTCTTTTATATAGTATTCAAAAACTTATACATTTACATTAGTATAAGTAGTGGATATGGGCGAATTAGTGTTTGATATTTCAGAATAGGACCCATTAGATGCTAGGTGGGAGGAATTTTGTTTATATAAATTATTATCTTTAGACGAATTTTGATTATTAAAACTATCAGGTCTTGGAGTAGTCGGGATTTGTGAGATGGTTTGACCATTGTTCAGTGAAATTGGTGCCGTATTAGGAACGTTTGGTTCACCATTTCTCATACTTAAACTCACACTATTTTGGGTAGATCCTATATTAGTAGGATTTTGAGAAGTTGATCCCTGAATTGGACTATTTGGAGAATTAGGTTGGTTATTTATTGGGATTGGGTCAATGAAAACGTTTGGTTTTTGAGGATATGTCTGGGGATTTTCTCTGTTGGCTTCAATTGCTTGCCAGTTAATGAACCAGAAAGGTTGCTTATCAATCGGCAGCTTACTGAGTCGATCTATTAGGTCCCTGTCTCCATTGGCTTCTATAGGTAACCTTTGTGTAGTGCCTTCACCAAATCTGAAAATAATTTATTGTATAAGTAATTAAAAATTGCTATATGATTAGATTTCAATATGTCAGGGAAGTCGCATGCTAGTGTAGAATTCTATAACCTCATTCATTCAAAGTATACCCACCAAAACAAGAAATGAGAGACCAAATAAGAGCTGATGCTTTATTTATTATTAAAAACAATTTAGTGCTGATGTTATACTGAAATATACTTTGTACAAATCCATCTGAATCTGTCTCAATCATTTCAGCTGCCGAGCTGCTTCATTTGTAAAGTGTTTAGGTAGAAGGGTGAGATATGGCAGGAAAATTATAGGGTACGGAGGCTCAACACCTTAAACCTCCGAAAAGAGCGACACACGACGTTGATAACAATTTAAACCAGGACTAATGCTATTCCTAAACCCAACCTCAGAAACGCAGCTGATTTACACTAAGCTTCATAACATAACGTTATTAACCGTCTTAGAAGTTTTGGACCGGTACGAAATTAGTCACCTTGAGGTGTTCCTAGCTTACAGTAGAGCTGTTCCACAAGTATATTGGATACGGTTACCATCACCTCATTTGGTATTTCACAGAAAATAAAAAAATATATATTTTTCCACCTCAGTTGCAAACTTTTAAAGTTTTTTTTAAAATACTCAATGCACATACACGGCTCGTTTACGATTTTAAAATATTGTATAATGATACATAATCTTTATTATAAGTGGACACTTAGACCTACTTTTTTTCCTTGCCGTTATCTGTAGGTATATAACGGGATTAAATTCGTGTCAACGGACTTCGTAATAGAATGGATAAACTTGATTGTACCTACTATATAAACAAAGAGGGTACGTAGTTAACACATTTATGTTCCTATACGGTAAAATCATTTAAATTAGTCGTTACGTAGAAATATACATAAGTATAGAATGTAGCTATGGAAGGATCCAGTTCAATTTCGATAATAAATTATGATTATTAGTTATTTAAATTTTTATCATTATTCTATTTTAAAATATTTGTATGTAACAAGATCTTTTTAAATAGCATTAACGATTTTTCTAATGACTAGTCATGCCTCTTATCCTGAATATTTCACTGTTTCGTCTCAGCCTTCAACCGACCATCTTATAAAGCAAAGGCATTGTTTGAACCCAAATAGGTGATACTGAGGTTCGAATACGAGTCGTACGGTCGTTCCGTATACGAGTTTTTGCAAACTCGAGGTAGACTTTACTTTTAGTAAAGTTACTATGGACGTTTAATAATGCCTAAAAAGATGTCTACACATACCGATCTTCTAAACCATCAGCCGTGGTTGTAGTTCTGTTGTAAAGTTCCGGGTAACCAATGGGTCTACTACCCGCAAACCCGGGTCGTTGCCCCATCACCAGCGTCGCTGATGTGATCACCATGAGCAGTTGGAACGTCATTATCTAAACAAAATATAATTAAATAGGTACCAAGGTCTTTATTGTTATATTTGCTAACACTAAGTTGATAGATTTTTTAACTGGAATCAATCACAGCATCGTGTGACCCATCATGCGTTGATATTTCTGAGGTCTAAGATGTAAGGTCATATCATGTAGACTGTATTTTAAATTTTGATTTAATAATTATGTTCGATCTTTGTCAGCTAATTAAGAAAAAAAGTAGATCTAAAACTTTCGTGTTTTCATTTTTTTTTTATTATATCTATATATTATAGTATTTTGTAGTAATTTTATCATTATATGCCTATAGATACATATGTATAATACACTACAAATAATAATACAAATATATACGTTTATAAATCTGTATTAGGTGAAATAAGTTTTATTTTGATTAGTAGCTTGATTTTTATAAATTACAATTATATTATAATTACTAGCTGTCCCGGCAAACGTCGTTAATAAATGTTGAAAATAAAAATAAAAAATTTAGGGGTGGACTTCCCCTAACATTTGGGGGGATAAAAAATAGATGTTGGCCGATTCTCAGACCTACTCAATACGCTCACAAAATTTCATGAGAATCGGTCAAGCCGTTTCGGAGGAGTATGGGAACGAAAACTGTGACACGAGAATTTTATAGGTATATAAGATAAATATTTACAGCCAAAAAATGTTTAAGTCGGCAACCATAAGTGGATAGATTATTTATAGATATGCTCAAATTAGTATTATATGCACAGGTTTAATATATTTAAATCACAAGTAATATTTACTTAAATCATTAATAAAACAAATGATGTTTCTTAGAGAACCAAAGGAATTTTAAGTGATCTTATCATTTTTAGAAGCAGTGATCATACTAGAGGTAGGTATATTATTCACATATATAGCTACCAATATAAACATAACTTAAAAATGTTTTCATTAAGATTTATAAATAAACTTACCGAAAGAAATCCACACACACACCTCCGTCTTGAGCGATACCCGCCGACTGGTAAATGGTTATCGCAAAAACAAAGGAGGAAAACTTGACGGTCAGATGTACCGGTTCGTGACGTATCCACTTCATTTTATAAGACCTATGGTGCCTGCAGTTTGTTTAAATCTATTTAAACTAATAAAAAAATAGTAAACACTGATTCAAATGTTTTTCGTATATTGTTTATTTAATGTGTATAAAAAATAGGTATAGGTTTGTTTTTATGCTAGAAACAAACGTATTCGTCTTTAGTTTTAGAAAGAGGTAGGTATAATATGGAAGAAAGAACATAGAAACATAATATTTTAAGGTAAAAATTAGTACATAAATACTTACGACACCAACAATTTTTTTCCGTTTGAAAAAAAAACAGGAATATTCTGGATCATGTGCATAACATCTCGAACAAAAATTATTAATTATTTTTAAAAAATACAGTCGTGTATTATTTTTAATATATGATAATGGAAGGGTGCACCCGAATGCATTAAGACTAACGGGGCACCAGTAAATGATGACGTGGTATGGATTAAGCTATTTACATTGCAAGGAATAAGACTACTAATCCTAATTAGCTAGTCGGGTAGTCAGTCTATGGAAGAAGTGCAATAGACTGAAGGCCAGTAAGTTCTTTCAAATTTAAACATTCGTTTTTTAGAACTAATGTAGTTCTTAACTAAAATCCATTACCCAAACAAAACTTTTTGCTTCAAATATTACTTCTCAGTTTTTAAAACTATAAAAAATGTTGACTACCTATTCCAAGTACAAAGCCACGGATTTACCTAAGTACCTACGTATATCTACTTATTGTGTAATATACTAATTACTTATTTATTGAAATGTATTTTTACGATTTTATTATTTTGCTACCGTGTGTATCTGTCTAAAATAATAATATCTTAAGGCAATTCATACAGCGCCAGCTAGTCCCAAACTAAGCGGAGCTTGTGTTATGAGTACAAGACAACTGAAATCATAAATATTATTTGATATAGATATTTTTTAAATACGCACAGAATATATTAGAAAATACCCAGACCAATACAAATAATAATAATCTTAAATACAAATGTTTGTACCGTCAGAGGAATTGAACCCGCGAATTCTTAACATCGGAAGTTACGCCGTGTTTTAAACTGCTTGGCCACTGATGTCATCAAAGTCTGTATATATGTATATAAAGGTTAATTTATTACTTCATGCAAACCGTTAGTGCAGGCGGGTGCAACATTCCATTATCATCAATACAAAAAAACCACTATTGTTTCTTTCACAGACATGAAATTAACCAAATATCAACCAGGCTTTTGCAACAGGAAGCCTGATTAGTCGCCGTTTCTAGAAAACTCCTCACCCAGCTCGTGAATAGGTATATTAGAGCTGCAAACTAATAACAAATAAAGTGTTTTAATATGTGAAATAAAATTTTATAATTTATTTCAAAGAATCGTGATTATGATAAGCGACTAAGGTTTCTATTTGCGTGAGCTTAATTTAGTAACAAAGTTAATTTAGATATAATCTCATGCATATGTAATACATTCTATATTAATCTATTAATGTATGGAAATCAGGCACTTTCAACTGCAATATAAGGTTTTTAATAAGTATATATGTTGAAAAAAACTACTGACATATAATAGTAATATAATATTTCCACGTTGTAATTGTAATTTTTAGGCAGATATAGATAAGCATATTACAGACCTTACCTTGTTGATTGTGTATAAATTTATCACACTCACTTTCTGGTGATGGAAACAGCGATAACATAATAAATTATTTGGTAGACAGAGGAAGGATATATGTCATGGTATATGTTACATTTACAACAATGTGGACGGTTATAATTTACAAGCTCAAAGGGGTGCCTTCGGGGATAAAAGTCTTATAGATATGTTATATTATTATTAGTTGTTGCCCGTGATTTTGTCTGCTTAAGATAGCCTATATTCATCCTCGTAAAACAATACATAAAATTTAATTATAATCGGTTTAGTCGTTTATCCGTGAAAAGGTAAAAAACAGATAGATAGACACTTTTGTTAATTAAGAATATTAGTATGGATTCTATATACTATAATAGAAATAAAGGTCACTAAGTAACGAGGCCATTTTCATATTATTCTTGCAAGATTAACGTTTAATTTTATCTCACGATAAAGTTGGAGGCAGACTGTTAATGTCTATTGAAAAAGATCTTATCTTACATTTATGTTCATTGTACAATGTACATGATGTCATCTGCTACTATATAACATTTAACCAGTTTCTAATTAGAGGGTTATTCAGAACAAGCAATCCACCTCGACTTCTTTTTGTTGTCGAACTATTCTAATGCTGTCGGCCACAGCTGGCCTTATAGCTTCATCGAATGATTGGGGCCGAATGCAAATGGCACTCCAAACCCGCGAAAACCCTCGGCTCCGACAGTCAGTGGCGAAAAGTTCATCAACATCTGGATTACATTTTAGGTAAAGTTTTATGATTAAATAGATTATATAGATTAAATAATATTATATACGAATACAAAAGAGAAATCTAATGGAGTGAATGTTAATTAATGAGACGACTTTACTAAGGATGTCCATATCAGCTTTAACAATAATTGGGTAAAATGAGGAATGGCGTTAATACGATCTTAGGTCTAATTGATAGACGTTTATACTAGTCAATTAATTAAGATATTGGAGTACTAGAGTCCTACATTATATTCTTAGTATATTCGGTGATTTAGACCAATAACAATAAATAAAGTGAACTTCTTCTTAGCATTCTGTGGATTCATTGTCCATCATGTATAGTGATACTTCGAGTAGTTCCCGAGACTTGTGACTCGGGCGTGGGTATAAAAGGCCCCTTGCCAATTTACGTCAACACTCACCTTCACCACACTTTGTTTCTCTCTCTCCACATATCTTCCATACCATATCCGGTAGAAGCCTGCTAGTGCTGCTTTAGCATCTAAAGTTAAAACGTAACGTTCAAAACTTACTACATTTCTAGACAGTAAAGATCTTTTAGAAGAATGGAGAGTGATATCGCTGGTAATTTATATGTGGTTGAAGTGGAGGGAAGAGGGAGTGAGTTGAGGGAAGGGTATCTCGCTCCAACGTCGATAACATATAAATTAACCACATATCCATTTTTCATAAATTCGTTTATTAATTTGTAATATTTATTTGTTTTTATTGCATTGTCTTTAAGTTTGTTTCATTCTAACGTGAAAGCAAGGTAATGAGTTTGAAAAATAAAAAAAAATAAAGTTTATAATGTGTGGTAATAGTATTTATTACATTATCAAGCATTAAATTAATTTTGAATACTGATTACACAACTTACTAGTGGTTCGCTACGGATTCGCACTTGCGCAATTGTCATAGAAATCTAATATTTTCGGCCAGGCTATATTACCTAGTAATAAAATAAATTTATAATTTTCGATACTAATAAAATACATATCTTTTCTACAATATTTTCATATAAATTCGTCATCATGGATTCTATGAAATATTTAACTACTTGTTGATTCTTAAATGCCACGGATTATATACTCATATGACCCGAGGCTAATTTATGTTTATATTCTATTACAAATGGAAAATCACAATTACTCATTAAGTTATTGTCCACATATTGTGTGATGCGGGTGACAGTGATTGGCAGATGGAATTTATATTGTAAAAGAACTTCTTTTTTTGAGATTTCGGAGTCAAGGCTGTTATGGTTCTAATAATTAATTTGTCTCATATTTTAATTTTGTTGAGTATAAAAAACCTATAAAAATATTCACATTGTATTGAAATTATGAAATTTATGCCTGGTACTGCTCAAATAAGATGCAGGGTGTTTAATATAATAAAGGGTGTGTGCAAGATTTTAATATTATATTGGTATACATAGGTACTATTGAATGTATGTGGATTTTTTGTATATGCAGTAGTATCTGTATGTATCATGTAGAGCACAAAGTGAGACTACCTTAGTATTATGGTATAAGATAGTTTAAATGTAATTCTTGCTATACGAAGAATGATAGGAAATTAGTAGAAATAAGTTCAACTGCTGTCTATCTATCTATCCATGTAAAAAGAATTAATACAAAAATGTTAAGTAAATGTAAAACAATTATTAAGTATTTATGTCGGAATATAATGATAGCAATTCTATAAGAGCGGGATCTCCTATCACAACTATTTAAGGAGATCCCAGCCCTGATTTTAAAAGTAATGTTTAAAGTATAACGAATAAAGTTATTATCAAATATATTTCTTTTAAATAAGTGTACGACTAACAGGTTACTGAGGATAATATTGCACGTTTAATAATTGAAATAATAATAAAAATCGACGAAATAATAGTCGATATCCCAGAACCAATATTACTGGGGTAGACTTTTGTAAAGAGATATCTGCTTGTACCTCATCTATTTCAAGCGCCAAGTAGCTTGCTTTGTACGATGTCTTTCAGTTGAAAGGTGAAATTGAAGTGAAATTACAGGGTACGATGCCATTTTAGTATTCCAGAATGGCAATGCATGAGTGGTATCCCAGGCGTCGCATGACAATGTAATGTCCTCCTTCAGTACCTGTATATTCCTGTACCAACCGGTTCCAAATAATAGGACTATGGCCAGCTCCCTTACGACTATACTAGTAACATGTAGGTCTGTGTCTTAATGTGTCTATGTATTTACACTGTCATTAATCCAAACGGAACATAAAATATGCAAATGTGCAAGTTAGATAAGAAGCGAATATATTATTCGCACTTTATCTAGTAATTTTCACAGGCCGATCTTTCTAATCTACCTATTACCATTAATCCATGGAACGACATGCATTGCAACCCCAGGTGTTTATTCCAGTTTTATCGTCGTTCTCGACGTTCGAACAGTTGAGTTTTATAAATAATATCGTTTTAGCACGATATCATACTATACAATATCTTGGCAACGTATTGTAGGCTTCCTAACTGAAAATATTTTATTGTTCCAATTTACTATTTTCTATTTTATAGATACTTTTAGGTATTCTTGTTGTTAAATTTGGAATTAATTAAAATTAGTACGTATTTATTGAGCAGTTATAATTTTGTAGGTTCTTGTATTTTGTTTATTATTAATTATTAAAAGAACCCTCATCAGTTCAGCCTATCCATTGTTAGATATATAGGCGTTCCCCAATGTCTTTTACCATGTGCCATTTTACAACTTATGCATCCATTCACTCCCGCCCACGTCCTTGATACCATCGGTCCATCTTGCAGGAGGAAGCCCGACACTCCAACGACCCAAACGAGGCCTCTACGCTAAACTGTACTGTTCCCCTGTATCTATCAACGCATTAAATAAATAATTTCATATAACATTGAATTCCTACATAAACTATTGTAATTACAATATTTGTATATCTATGATAATGACTTAAAAGTGCGAAATACATAAGAAAAATAAAATTAGTAATATAATAATTTTTTAAAGTCAGTATGATGTTGTCCATTTCAATATTAATTCAAAGAATTAGCATCCACCCATATTAAGACCCAAAAAAATTTTCAAAAGTTGTGTATTATGTATTCTATAGGAAATCTCGGCTTCCTCAACTTTATAAAAACTTTAATGACTTTTTAATTTCTCCGAATACTTAGAAGTTACCGTTCGGTTTTATTTTATACGAAAATTTATTTCAACTCCATGAACGATGAATGTCGTGACTTTATCGATATAATTTTGAAGTCATGCCTGTACCCGCTAGGTTTCCACCTTGGGTTTGAAGGTCAGAATATGTGACGTCCTTCGCATATTTTTTACATGGACATTTTAATTTTATTGTAATGTAAAAACAGCACTTGTTACAAATATTTTTATTCATGACAGATTCTTATATTAAAAGGTAAATATTGCTTCTTCTTAAAATTTAATCTCGCAACATGGCAATAACTTCCCATAAATAAATTATACATCTGAAGTCTATAAATAAACTATACAAAAATAACGTTACGAGGTTTCACAGCTTTTGTTGCTTATATGTATATTGTTATGATGCCAAAATCAAAAGCAAATGTAATGTCAGTAAACTAGTTATGATTCTTTTCATTACAACAGAGTCAGTTCCAGAATCCTCATCTTTTTCTTTACAGCATTTAGTTCCAATTTCAACAACTTTGGGGTAAAACTCTGTCCAAAACTCAAATGCTTTATAATTTACAGTTTCTGGTGTGCTCATTGTGAAGTTCTTACGATCAATAATCAGATAACCAGGTTTTTCTATTTCGAAAGGTTCCCATAAAATATTGACTCCAGAATTAGTCGGATTCGAATACCATGCAAAATTCGACCACATTTTCATTATCACATCAGAAATACTTTTATCTCTGATATCCCATTTAGCAAAATCTTCAGGTAAAGCTAAATGAGGTAAGCCAAAAGTGAAAGTTAAATCAAAATTATGAGGTACTGCTATCCACTCTGGTATGCCTTCGTTAGCTATATCCGAAAAAGGTTTCAAATCAAATCTGTATAAATAAACAGGCGAATGCTTACTAAGAAATTGTGCTAGTTGATAAGTAGTGGCTCCATGTACTTTGTCGGTGTAGAATTCCAAAAATAGTTTACGTAAAACGGTTTCATTAGATGTAGGCGGTATAGGTTTGTAAAAGAATGATACAGCATCTTGTATATGGTGTTGGTTTGTGAAACAAGAACTATTGTCTATTGTTATGTCTGATAATATTATTTCTTCCCGCATTACATCAAATTCTCTTTGGCTTAAACCGTCATTTTTATCATCTTCTTTGTGAAGGCGTAGAGCATCTTCCATGTTGGTGTACCCAGTTAAAACTGGTATTGGAGTAAAAATATCACTTTTGAACATTTTACTAGGCAAATCGGGTAAAAATGGTATGTATAATGAACCGTTACTAAAAGAACCGTCTACAATGGGGCCCCACTCAGCTAATGGTCCACCAACATCTAATAGAGCTTGATAATTAGCTCTTCTTAGACAATCTAATAACTGAATCGTAGGCTTTCGATAGCACCCGAAAGCACTGGCTACTTTATCTACAGTAAGAATTTCTTTACTGACTGTATTAACAGTGTTTGGTGACAGTACATTGCCACTCATTGCTATTGCCTTTTGGAAGAGTCCGGAAGAATGGGAAGATATCAAATGAAGACCTACGCTTACAGCACCAGCTTCGTGACCAAAGATGCATACATTATCTGGGTCACCACCAAAACTTTCTATATTGTTCTTAACCCAAGTTAAAGCTGCCACTTGATCAAGTAACCCATAATTTCCAGGCGATTCATTGTCTAATGATGAAAAAAATCCGAAAATATTTAATCGGTATGCTGCAGAAACGAAAATAACCTGTAAAGAAATATATTTTTATTATTACCTAGCTTCTGTCCGGCACTTGGTTTGCGTGACTGATTGCATATCGCGAATACACAGTGACGTATGTCTATCCCAAATACTTACGTACTATGTATGTTATCAAGATTGATTGGAAAATATAATGTTTTTTCTATTTAAGCTGGTATGGTATATTAGACAACTTTACAAATTTTACCTAAATATCATAAGATATACAAACCTTATGTTTTAACACAAGATGGAAAGGATTAACATTATTTGGACTGCCTCGGACAAAACTTCCACCATGAAACCACACCATTGTCGGATATCCTTCCACTTTAAAATCTGTAACAAATATATAATTTTTTATTTGATTTCAAACCAATTATATATAAACAATATTATATTAGTTGTTAGTAATGTTATCCTAATGATTATGCTAATGCTAGCAATATACTATTTCAGGTGACCGCAGCCTGTTCATCCTGGAAACCATCATGAAAAATTTCTGGTGAATTTGCTACAGTGGGCTAACTGACCTGACCACATGCGGGGATTGATATCAACCTTCGCTGGTGCCCCGTCAACGCAAACCTTTAGCTCAGGTGGATCCATTTAATTATTATCAGACATAAAATTAAACCTAACTTTACCTAATTTAGCTCAGGTGTATTCATTTAATTATTATGAGACATAAAATTAAACCTAACTTTACCTAACTTAGCTCAGGTGGATTCATTTAATTATTATCAGACATAAAATTAAACCTAACTTTACCTAACTTAGCTCAGGTGGATTCATTTAATTATTATCAGACATAAAATTAAACCTAACTTTACCTAACTTAGCTCAGGTGGATCCATTTAATTATTATCAGACATAAAATTAAACCTAACTTTACCTAATTTAGCTCAGGTGTATTCATTTAATTATTATCAGACATAAAATTAAACCTAACCTAAATTTAAAATTAGTTAGATAGGTTAGATACGTAATTTATATTAATAAACGGTTGACGTAGATCTATAAATGAAAACTAATATCATTAATTAGAATTCTATATGCTGAAATTAAATACAACAATTTAGCTTCGTGACATGTAAACGTCGTTGTCAAGCACACGAGTAGACTGATGTAAGCGGCTACAGATATAATAGTTTAAGGGTACTTGAAACACAAACGATGTTATATGCGCGCTGTTAACTCTAAAGCTTTTGTCTTTGATAATCTTCCGAATCCGAGATTAAATTTTCTTTTGAATATGCTAATTACATTCATCAGGGTTGGAATGGTTTCTAGGGCGAAACGGGTAGAGGTAGAGATATGGTAGTAAAGTTACAGATACGTAGGTATAACGAAATAGTTCTCAAGAATGAAATGCGTTAGGGCAATCGGTCAAAATATTTTGTAATGCCTATAGACGACCGTTACCACTTAGATACCATTAGATACACCGTCATCTTGTTTACCATTCGACTCGCATAAAAAAGTGTTTCAGTAACAGTATTTCAGTTCAAGGTCACTTAAATGTGACCCAAAAATGGTAACAAGTTAAACAAAACCTTGTAAATAGTATTTGCTATGAAATCATTCGAATGGCGAGTGGAGTCCAACACTGGTATTATCTGGGTCACCCACCACAAAGATTAGGGTTAAGTCGATTGCTCGAAGTGTAACAACGTCACGGAATTCTTGCATTAATGACTGGAAATTCACTGTGAGTATGTGCATTATTATGAGTCATTAGGTAGGTGTGAATCAGTAAAAGTTAGGTCACCTAATTTCATGACTTATTACCTATTAACGGCATGCCATATGTCGAGACAGCCTGATTTACGATAAAAATTTAAATCATAGACATGTAGTATTTCGTGGCTCTATACTAATATTATAACTGCAAAAGTGTGCCTGTATGTCTGACTGTTACTTTTATACAACTAAACGGTTGAAAGGGTTTTAATGAAATTTGATACGTAATTAAGAGAATATTTTATCTCAAAAAATAATCTGTAAGGAGTGAAATATGGGACGAAAGTTTAATTAAAAATTCGTAATAACATAGACATTGAATAAAGTTCTGTCTCCTCTAAAGCCATCGTATCTCATCATCAAGTATTATATGTTGTATTTCCTGTGGAACGTGACATATAGTAATAAAATACAGGATATTGAGGAAATATCGAAAACTTTAATCTTCATATTAAAATGCATCATCATCATTCTCAACGTCATCAGGTATTACCAATACTATACACGAAAATAGTTGCAATTCCAAATAAATCCAATGATTATGACTATATAAATAAAAATATGAGACGCAAGCTCGTTTGTGCTATAAAAAAAATTTTGTACACACAATATATATTTTTAGTATCCGCGGTCCTAGCCCCCAAGATACAGTTCTGACCTACTATGGAGACTACTGATAACAGAAAGAAAATTCCGTGTAGTAAATAATTAATGTAAAAGTATAAGTAATGAAATCCATGTATATGTATTATGTATATATAATATATAAATAATAATAAATGGAATAAATGAAAAATAAAATAATAATATAGGAAATTTTGAATGCATTTGCTTATTGCTTGCATATTTGTATACATAAAAAACGTCATCCTTCTTTCTTTTTAGTATGTTAAAAATCTTTACCTTCATAAACCAGCTATTGATATATTTTTTTGTTATTTCTGAACTACCGTTTTACTTAATGACTTTCATTTAGGTCGACAAATGAAACTGAATTTACAACATTACATAAGTTTTAGGGATTAAGACACTCTTAAATTCAAGACCAATGTTATCAAGATCAAAATTACGAGAGTTTAAAACTAAGAAGGAAAGCTTTGAAGGAATATTACAAAAGGCGCGTCACTCTCTTGTAGGTAAAAATCGATTTCAACATTTAATTAAATAAGTAACACGTATTATATTATAGTTCACGAGCCAGCGACACATTTTCTCGCTCAAATCGTTTGCGAGTTTTCGGCCGAGAAGAAATGGTTGATGAAATTCTTATTTGGATATTAAATTATTAGACAATTCGATCAGCAGAATTGTTGATTTAACTACAATAATGACTATCAGTGTGGGCGTACCAACTGGTTTCTTCAAGATAAATATATATTAAGGATGTAATAGGATCGACCCTACCAGTCAGGTGCCATTAAAAACAAACTGCTTTCACTCTTCGGCCTTAATCAAACAAGGGCCAAGTAAAATTGCAATGGGTTACATTTTCGGAATGGCCAACAGGGATGTCATTTATAGCAACAATATTGTCCAGGCTTATAATTAATCATCAGTTTATTTCCATCTAAACAGATAAAAGAGGTATTCTCAGTATTTTTCAATTCTTCATACAATTCTTATGAATCATTAGTCGAGGAAGGAAAATAGCCTGGAAAAATATGCAAAAGCAATTAAAGTAGATGGGATTCCAAACTGTAATGAACTACTGGTCGATGCCGTTCTATAGAAATTAACATTATTATTCGGGTCATTGCCGTGACGATATAATTAGAATTTTGGGTCACACATTTATAATAAACCTTATACGTAACTAATATTTCATCTGATTATTTTTAGTTAAGAATAACCTTGAACTGGAAATGGGTTTTGACAACCCTGTCGTGAGAAAATGCTTTTACCTGTTACGTGTATTAGATTTGTGATGAAATTAGGACCTACGTAACATTGTTAGGGGCTATTCACACAACGTGACCTGTGTTTGCACAAAGATGGGAAAGTGATATCAGTGCAATCCAATGATTTACAATGAATATACACAGTAATGGGAGTAACAACGATATAAATTAGTTACAAAAAATCTGAGTAATAGTTGGTATTATTTTATATTTTATTAGCTGTTTCCTGCGACTTTGTCTGCAATTTCTTTGTTATACATTCTACCGTTAAGACGCGAAAAAGCAATAAACATTCGATAAGAAGATAGATCGTTACTAAGACCAATATAGACTATCTTTTATGTCAGAAAGTAGACAGAATCGTGGAAAATAGCTAGTGTTTAATTTTTTTTATTCACATGAGCGATAGTTAAACTATGAATCTCTTTTTAAAATAGCAAAGTATCTTTGTAGCACATTACTAAAATCATACAAAGGAAAGATGTTATGTCTATTTGATAAAATTAAAAACGAAGTACAAATTGATCGGATTAATAATACGAAACCCAATAGGTAGGTAGATTGAAGGGTTTAAAATTAAATTACTTTAATGGCAATTTTATTACCGTTCTCAGTTCGTTTTTACCAAGTTGTACTGCAAAAATGAAGTCGACAGCGCGGTATATCCAATAGCCTAAACCTTTGAGAATTCAAGTCTCAAAGGATTAGGTCGATTTAAAGTCGCTGATGCCATTCGGATGGATTTCTCTTTTTGTAAAAAAAGATATTTAAATGTACGGGTCGTTCTACAAATCAGTGAATTCGAAATTGATTTAGCTCTTTCAGTGTAAATTAGGTACAATAAGGATTCGGCTGCTTCTACTCGGACATCGTAATTTGTGTTCAAATGATTTAAAATGAGCGGATTCTTCATTTACAATTGTATTTGTAAAAAATATCGCGTATATAAATATATCGATATATCTTATAGCATGTGCTAGGAAATGGCAATGGTACGAGTACATGAGAGATACCACGGTCGTTACATGACGGCGTACGACGACATATAGACGACGTACGTTTGGCATTTGCTATGGATCGTATTCATATATCGCATTATAATAATAAGAGTAGTCAATAAGCTTACGACTCACTAAACAATAAAAGATTTTTTAATATACTTAACTAATCTACATTAAAAAACTATTAACGTTTTTTGGTAGTCGCATAGTAATTTTGTTAACATTGTAATAGTATAGCCGTAAATATTTAATTAATAATACAAAACTAGCGATCCTTGTGTATATATTACAAAAATGTATATAATTTCGGAATGTATAATATTTCCGAAAGTATTAGTATAGTAAAATAAGACGTTACTATTAGTGCCTTTTTATACTAAAATCCAAAATAGGTATTCTGAAAACTATAAAATACTATAATCAAACAAGACATCGTGTAAAGTTTTTTTGTCTGTAGGTACTGTGTACCTATTTAATAGGCATATGTATAAAAAAAAGAAATGGTTTAAATTTGAAAATCCTTAGGATTATGATACGGGTTTATAAACCTTTTAAAATGTTTGAGGGTCCCATTAATGGCTACACTCGGAGATATTATTAGATCCCTATTACATATGATACTCAATTTCAGTATATACATATAAACCTATTTATGTATAATTTACATATTGATAACATATATAGACAAAGATATTGA